CTACTTACTTAATTATTGTGGAGAAACTCAGTTACTTTTTGGGACAAGTAACTATAACTAATTATTTTTACAAAGTACAGTAACGTGCCCAACACTGGCAGTTGGATTCTTACTGATTGTATGGGGTGGACAGGTGTCTTTATGCAGCTAACGACCTCCAACAGGTGCATCTAATTTAGAATAATAAATGGTGTGGAGGTGGACATTTTGAAGGCAGACTAACAGGATTATGAAGGTAAGAATTCTAGCTGATAGACAGGTGTTCAAATACTTATTTGCAGCTGATACTTAAAAATCATATATTGTGATTTCTGGATTTTTTTAGATTATGTCTCTGACAGTAGACATGCACCGATGATGATAATTTCAGACCCCTCCAATATTTCTAAGAGGGAGAAATTCAAATACTTAATTTCCTCACCGTGTATGTAAGACATCTGTTTGCAAGCTATCTGCCTGAGCATATAGTGCTGCTATTAGCTAGTACTTAATGTTGGTTTGCAAAGGCTCAGGAGTACCTTTGTATAACAGAAGCATTTAATGTCAAGAAACACAACTTAGCTAGCAACGAAAATCTGTTATTATCTCAAAAATTGGTGTAAAAGAAGTAAGTTGTGAGTAAACCTTTCACCAACATTGGTGTTGGATCTCATGATTCTACTTGCGCCATAAGTAGTTTCTCTGTCTTTGGACCGTTTGTCCCTTTATTGATCGGACTGCTGACAACCCCAGGGTCCAGTCAGCTTCTAAAACCGTAGATAAAAGTCCTCCACCTGTTTTACACGCTCTGGGTTTCTTCATGTGACTCTCAAACTTCAAGCTGAACACCGCCGCCAGTTGTGGTTACTGTGATTTCCTCCAGTCAGGGAAAATAAAAAGACGATTGTATGTTTTTTATAACCATGTGGTAAAAATGTGACTTGCTGGGGGTGGGGGGCCCAACACTTTGTATCTTTAGGCGCTATAAAGAAAATTAGGACGTGAGCGTTTATGTTATCTACAGGTCAGTGGGTCCTAAGGGGAGGAGGGAAAGCAAACCCCCAAACAATGCATGCTGCTCTTTTTATGCAAATACGCAATAAATTCCTATTCAATGTATAATTTATTGATGAACGGTATGGAAAACATTTTAAATTTCCACCTGTCTGCTTTTCCACCCACCCATCCATCCAGTTGATAGTTTATTTTTTATTCCATATGGTTTGCCATCATTTTAGTGGCCAATTAATTATGAATCTTTGCATTTATACTTGTCTAAAGGGCTTAAGGTGATTTAGAATCACAGAAGTCTAGAAATAAATAACATAAAAACACATCTTGTTGGAAATCTCAATTTTCCAAAAAGACCATGTGTTTTTATGTTATTTATTTCTTCTGTACATATTTCTACATATCCTATTTCTTTCCCCTGACCGTGTGGATCTGAACATATAATCCTGAAAATCCTTTTCTCTGTGTGAAACTGTGTGTTGGACGCAGGGTCCTGGCCTCCTTCTTTCCAGGTGTGTGTTTTTTGGCCTGAGGAGAGATGGAGCAGATGGTCCCTGTTTACGTGGCGTCCAAGTGAAAGGGTGTGTTTGGCTTTAATGTCTCGCTGCTCACAGATCACCTTGGTTGGAAAAAATAAAAAAAATCTGTGGGTTTTGAATGTTAAAGAGCTGAATTTTTCCACTGATTATTTATCACGTTTAAAAGTATCCTTGTTTAGCTCTGCTGTATCTACCATAAGATACTTCCCAAGGGGAGAATCAGGGTACGGATCACCAGTTTGTGTGTCGGACGGCTCCCATGTTCACTGATCGTTTTCTTCAAGGATACATCAAGGGCTTGATTGTTTACTCACTTCAGACAAAAAGAACAGTTGCTCTACTGTTGATCTGAACACATTTCAAACCTCAAGCCTGCACAAATCGGATGCTTTGGGAAACCTGGGAAATTAGAGCATTGACATGATCTTTTGTTTGGAATTTCCTGTCAGAAAGTATTATCAGAAAACCCATCAACCAAGGCAGAAGACTTTGTACTAAAGGGCAAAAGAGTGTTAATCTAATCGCCCTGCTGCAGAAAAGACTTGTCTAATTTTTCTCAAAGATAGGGAAATAAGGGGGATTGTAACTTATTTAATCAGTTGCTTCTTAGATTATTAGTTTATCCAACAAACGCAGGTGTTTTAAGCATTCGTATGAAATTTAATGGGTTTTTTTTTGCATCAGCTCCAGAATTTTTTTAATGACTAAACGAAATATAAAGATCTATTTTTATTTTATATATATTTTACTTCCTTTTTTTTATGTACAACACTTGCCATATATATATATATATATATATATATATATATATATATATATATATATATATACATATATACACAACAGTGTTAAGATTGTGTAATGAATTGTTAAATTCAATTAAAAACATCTACTTAAGCTGCAGACACATTGTTTTAACATTTAAATTCTGTCACTTCTTGAAAAATGTAATCACTGATCCGTATTTATTCACTGGATTGCTGATAGGCCATTGGTAGTACATGGTGCTGTTAAGTCACCAGCTGTCATATTGGTACTCCCTAGACCGGTCGGAACGTAAGCTTAAGGTCTGTGACAGCATCGAACAACGATGATGTTTCAGGGGGGCATAAGGCTTTTAAAATAAAGATAAATTCATCACTTTGACACACACTTGCTGTTTCATAGCATCAGTAGATTACTGTCATTCAAGTTAAAAATTATACACATTACATTGCTTAGTCAGTATGAAGTCTATGAAGTCTATAAATTATGTAATATATCATATTATAAAAAACCATCACACCAAAAATATTAATAATATATATAATAATATTAATATTAAGAATATCACAACCACACACTACCGATGTGGCTAATGTGCTAAATTGATGATGTACATGTAATATACATTTACTGATTACATTGTTATGGTAATTCCATTACATTAGAGGTATTTTTATGGTGCGACATCGTAAAACTGGGGAGTACCAAGATGGTGGCAGGTGAATTCAGTTTTTATATATGTAAGTCGCAGTGTCCTGTTGTCTAAGAAGAAGGGCTACTTTAATCGTGACGTCACCATCTTGTTTTATTCTTTCCCATGTTAAGGGATCAATCGTCATTTCAGTACTCCTGGAGGACCTGCATGTTTTCAGATAATTGTTGGAGCTAAAAGTAGGACAAGATGTTAGTTTCACCTTCGGTTTAAAGCATCTGTCATGCCAAGCTGAGCAAGGTTTAGTATCAAGTAATATTACTGCCTGGTTATTACTGTAATATCTGAGTTTTAGTTGTATTCATTTTGCTGCAGTGGCTCACATGCGTAGCTAAAATCGATCTTGGAGGCAGCTTGGCTTATAATACTGGATTTTTCCATGTTTGGCTCAAAAGGTGATCAGGTCGTGTATACTACAGTATCAAATGAGTAGTAAGTGAAGCCAAAGTTTATCCTCCTAAGCATCATAATGATAGACAGACTGGGTTATCATTATACTGTATAACAGGATTTCCTTTATATTATTTTCAAGTTTGACCAGCCCTTTTTGGAACCACACAGAAGCCCAATTCTGGTTGGATATTTACCGTTAATTTGGTTTGTTAGTCCTGCTGGATAAGATTTGGCCTGAGAACAGATTTCATCTTTCTCACCCAAATTATCAGTTGAAATAAGAAGAAAATTGTTTTGGTTTCAGGAACCATTTGCAAACCACCCACCAAACAATGAGGATATCTATAACGGGATTTAAGGGTGTCCGAATCTTTTCCCCCCTGGTATTTATATTAAGCATTGACTTTTAGAGCCTCCATGTCCAGTTCTATTCTATCGAATACAAAATTGTGAAATTTGTGTTAGATCAGCCGTTTTGATCAATCAAAACTGGCTGTATGATAGTATGTTAATCTATTTATGTTGCAGCTTTCCACTTTTCATACATTGTCTTGTCTAGAATAAATGTTTAACCTTTTTCATTTTGCTCAGAGAAGAGATGCTGTTGAGTTTTACTTAAATGTGGACTCAGAACAAAGAGACCAAGAAAGAGCCACCTTCTCGGAAATCAAAACAGTGACTAAAATTGAAGCTTTCCAAAACTGCAAAGATGGTCAGATGTGCATGGTGAGCATAGTGGTGGCTGCATCATGCTGTGCGGACGTTGTGTTGTTTGTGTTACCTTAATCATTGAAATGAGTTCACATCACAGATTGATAGCTGTTGTTGGACATGATGAACTTTTCTAACAGGATTATAAACCCAAACACACAATAGATGAATAGTCATTGATTATCAGTCATAAATGTTTATGCTAACACTGCAGAGTATAGCAGCTGCTGGACAGTATCTTTAATCATGTGGTCAGAATGGTTGGACAGCAGGCGTCCTCAGCAGTTTCGCAGTGCTAAGGTTAGTCAGATTGATTTATTTGAAGAGCTCAGCTAGATTAGATTTCATTCATGTTTACTGATTCATTCTTGTGGTGAGGAGGGGTAGAATTTGCAGGAAATGTGCATGCTCAGAGATTAAACCCAGACCTGGGAGGATTTTTTTTGTGCGTTTTATCCACTAAACTCTCCTAACCAAGGCTCTTTGTGTCTCTCTTTCTTTTCAGTTGATCCCATCATCCCAGGCTTTGTGGATCGACTCGCTGTCTTTATCTAAAGAGATCAGCCTGTTGATTGCTACTTCACAACAAAGCTTATGGATTACAGAGGGTGTTGGAAAGGCATTGATCACAGCTCTGTAGACACTGAGAACTGAGCTTCAGTTACTGCCTTCTGTTTTTACCTTTCAGTTTGAGTGGGACTTGTGTCGGCCTCTACCTTTCCAACCTTGCATATAGAAACCAGCTGTCCCTCTGTCACCATGTACGGTAGCTCCAGGTCCGTCTCCAAGCTGGACGTTGTGGGATCCAACGGTAGCAGCTCTGGGAGTCCTGGCCGCTCGCCACGCCTCCCTCGTTCCCCTCGTTTGGGACACCGGCGGGACAACAGCAACAGCTCCAGCGGAGGACTCACAGGCACGGGGAAAACTCTGTCCATGGAGAATATTCAGTCTCTGAACGCTGCCTACGCCACCGGGGGACCCATGTACTTCACCGACACAGCTGAAGATCCGGTCGGAAGCATGGGCAGCGGGCTGAATCCTGGCACACCTAAAAGCACCATGACTCTGGGCAGAGCGGGGGCCAGGCTGCCCTATGGGGTGAGGGCAGCGGTGATGGGGAGCAGCCCGAACATAAACACAGGTGGAGGAGCAGGGAGCAGTGGGGCCATCATGCCCAGTGACGCCATAGCTTTCGGGGGGGAGCTGCAAAACCAGCCTCAACAGGCAGCTACTGTTCCTCACTCTATGAGACAGGTAGGGCACTGCCGAGATTTCACAGTTTAAACCTTCAATCAGATTTATTCCATAAAATAATGCATAGAATACATGGAATAGAAGAAAATTTAGACCTGGATTTCAATTTTTTGAAATCATAGAGAAGCAGTCAGCTGCTCTATGAAGGAACTTCAAGGTTTGTGAAGGAATATCACTGAGCAACGAGCATCAGGAGCACAGAAGGAAAGTTGAAAAGGGGTTTAAAGTGGATTAAGATCCCTTGGTTCAAAAACCTCAGATCTGTGTGGACAGTGAAAGTAATATTCAATGAAATAGCCAAGAGGAACATGCTATTCCTTAAAAGTGTTGTGGATAATTTCCTAAAAAACCCGCCCTCTCAACTTAAAAGAAAAAATATGCGTGCAAGAGCATGCACAAGCCCCTTGGTCCTAGTGCACGCCCTATTTAAAATGTGCTGCTCTCATAGCTCATGCAAGCTTACTGTGTCCACATACAGTGGGGACTATATAGTGGACTCTATAGCAAACTCAGTTAACTGACCGTTCAGACTGATGATCTCTACTTTTTGCTACCTTGGTCACGTAACACCTCCTCCTCCGCGTGGTGCCTGCGCCATCTTTGTTATTAGTCGCTGCTGTCAAGTATCCACAACCTATGGCGACAGCGGGTCACTGTGACAGCAAATCCCATAGTACTTTGTGCAAAGCATTCTGGGATATATCTGCCTCTTCTGAGGGTTTCTTTTCTTCTCATACACTTCGTAGACACGTTTTCTCTTACGACCGTCGGCCATTTTCAATGAATGGCGGTGAGAAAGGTGAGCTTCAATGACTGTCTGAAACCGTAGCTCACCCCAGATGTATGCGTGAAAGTACGCGTGTGAAAATTAAGATAGCTAACGGGACGAGAACATATGACGGCCTTACGTAAACATATCACCAGAATGATTGACAATTAGGAGGACCACTTATTTAGAAGATCCACCTGTAAATAAAAGATTGTCTTCTATACCTTTAAGGATCGCAGAGTAAAGATAGTAAAAAGGTTCTCTGCTCAGATGAGGAAAAAAAATTAAAGCTTTTCATCAGGAAACACTTTGGAGGCCAACATGTTGGTGGGAGCATCATGGTGTGGGTTCAGTTGGTGGATAGATGAAGCCTGTAGTGGGCAGTACTGGATTAAAACCACGATTATATTGATTATATATACCCATAGAGCTACAACTTAACTCTGTGTATCGAGTCATAGTCCTTTGAGAATGTCCTAGTCAAAGTCTGGACCTAAATTCAGTTAGGAGAGTGAGACAAGACAATTATTGGTAAGTTTTAGTGTTTGAATGTGAGAAGCTGGTTTAAGAAACACTCTATTAGATCTTTAGTTTAATTGCAGAAAAGGTTTGCTCTCCAAAGTTGTTTCCGACTTTGAATTTTGAAAACCAATTATTTTTCTGTGCTCATGTGCTAAAAAAAACAAAAAACTGAATAAAAAATAAATGAATGCATACATATCTGCTGTGTTTGTTAAATAAATCCCTGTAAACTGGGCTTGTTTGCTCACCCAGACAGAAACCAGAATATTCTTGAAGCTAAACACTTTTTAAAGATTTAAATTCAAACGTCATCTAAAAACAAAAAGAAAATCCCTTAATGTCCCACAATGGGGAAGTTCGTTCTCTGCGTTATGGAAAGTGGGCTGCCACTGTGCGGCGCCCGGGGAGCAATCAGGGGTTAAAGTTTTGCTAAGGGACCCAGAGTTGAGGCTGTGGGAATCGACTGGATATTTGAGCACAAGAGCACAGCTCTAACCCACTAGGCCGACTCTCCCCTATCTGAGCAGATAAAGACGGTTTCTATGACCCTTATTTAGACTGTTTCTTTTGCAACAGAAGCCTCCTCAGTCAGCTCATAAAAAATAAAAGAAGGAATCCTTTGTGGTTGCGCAACTTGGTATTTAGTCATGCAGATAAATTTTGCACTTTCCCTGCTTGAATCCAGGATGTGGGATGTTTGAACTGATTTTAGGTCTGACTTTAATAGGTGTTATTGTCTCATTAAACCACCTTTAAGCTGAGTAAAACAAGAACAGTGTGGGCATTCATACAGCATATGTAAGGTCTGCCCTCGCACTACCTCTGCACCATGACTCATAACCTGAAAGCTCATCCTCTCCAGAAGTAGCTCTCCTCCTTTATTAGCATGTGATCACATGCAAGACAAAACAAAAATACAGCTTTTGATTAACCACCATTCCATTAACTTGTGTCATTCATTAAAGTTTGAACCTGGCAGGATTTTAACAGAGCCAGAATAGACTTTGTTTGTTCATGAAAAATAAATCCAAGATATTTTTAAGTCTTTAATAAGATGTTCCTGTCAGGGTGGATAAAGAATTCAACATTTTCTCATAAATACTGAAATATGCTGTGCAGTAAACCCTTTAATTCTTTCTCTACTGATCAAAAATGTTTGCTGAGTCATGACTTGCCAAGGTTTCAGCTGCTTTATCTCCATAAATGGACTTTAACGTTACAAACAGAACAGAAAACATCTGCAACCGGCGTCTGTTGAAAGTTTCCTTGTAATAGATTAGGATTAAGTATTTTTTTTAATATTTTTTTGTACTTTATTTTTGATAAGATTTTCCAGAATACAACATCAACACAAAAAATAGGCAATATAACCAATAAAAAAAGTAATTAACATATATATATATATATATATATATATAGAGAGAGAGAGAGAGAGAGAGAGAAAAAAAGGAAGATAAATAAATAAAAATCGCAACGAGCACAGTGAAAAGCAATCAAAATAGAGAGGTCACCAAGGGAGGGGTACGAAAATACAACACGGAAGAAATTTTAATCATGAACTGTTTTTAGGTGTATAGGTTACAGAGTATGTAGAGAGCCATGCAGAGCCAAACAGGTTAGACTTCCTGTGCAGAATTAAGGATTAAGTATTCTAAACAAAAATCCCTTCAATTGGATTTTTACATCCTATACAGATCAACCTTTGAAGCATCTTTTGATTCACTTTCAGCTTCCTCTCCTATTTTAGAGTTTTCATTATTATAGCGAATCTGAACCATGTAAACCTAGAGTTATTAATCTAAGGTTATTATTATTTTAATCATTTGCATAACTTAGTTTAAACTATAGTTTATAGTATTAGTCAGAGGAAAATTAAATAAAAGCAACCCCCCAAAAATGATGTCATTCAGCCCAGCAGAGGCCTGGTAACAACTTGCTCATTAAATCCAGGTGTGTTGTGGAAGAGATGCATTTAAATGGGAGGGATGGCAGCTCTCGAGGACTGGACTTAGATACTACTGTATTAGATGTTGTAGCAGAGCAATGAAATTTGTTTAATTTAAAAAAAAAAAATCTTTTGTGTTTTTCCAGGTCAGAGACGGGGCAATGTCCGACCTGCAAACGCAGTTGAGAGAAGTTCTTAGAGAAAACGAACTGCTGCGCAGAGAAGTAAGCCTGCATTTCTATTTTTATTATTTTTAATGTTCACTTTACGTTCACCTTCTGTTGGAAAATTCTATTGTCTTATCTGATAACAACTGAGATTATTATTGACATCTTTTGTTGGAAATGAGCGCCCAGATTAATTTAATGGATGTTTTTTGTTGTTTTTATGCAGCTGGAGGCCAAAGAGTCCAAATTGAGCTCCTCTATGAACTCCATAAAGACATTCTGGAGTCCAGAGCTGAAGAAAGAGAGAGCGGTGAGAAAAGATGAAGCAACAAAGATGGCTGTGTGGAAGGAACAGTACAGGGTGGTGCAGGAGGAGACACAGGTAGGAATATAAACCTGTTTGTGTGACTGTTTTCTGTCTTTATAGAAAAATAAAGGAAAAGCCACATTCCTTAATAACATACAGACATTTGCATTATATTAAACAGAGAACATAGAACAACAGGAAGCCTTTATTCAAGCCTTTATGAGTGAGTAGGACCATTTCAGATATAAGCCTAAACTACAAGATGGAGACGGTGGCAGAAATTAAGACTAATTTGAAGAGCTAAAAAACCATTAAATGGGATAGAAATTAATTATTTCCAACCTAACTGGAACCCATGCTCTCAGGTAATGTACAGGTAAAAATAAAGGCATGAGGTCTTGTTTTAGGGCTGCAACTAACGATTGTTTTGCAAATCGATTTATCTGTCGATTATTATTCTGATAGCAAAAGGCAAGGCAAGGCAAATTTATTTGTATAGCACAATTCAGTACAAAGACAATGCAAAGTGCTTTACATGATTAAAATATAGGAAAATAAAACAGAATCAAAGCAAGTAGGAAAAAACAAAAAATAAATAAATAGATAAATAAATAAAATAAAAAATGCAGAAACAAAAAATAACATTAAAAACATAAAAAAGTTGAAGTAATGATGTTTCAGTTGAACTGTTTAACTAGAACAGTCGAAGACCATCCTAAGCAAATGTGTGTTTACACAAGGTACAAAAGGTTCCTTGAAGAAGATTTTTTTACGAAATTAAACCAGATGAAACTAAAACTTTTCCACTTGAGGAGTTCTGGGTAGAGAATATTGATGAACGAAATATTTTGAATGCAAAATGTTTGTATAATTTGTACAATCTTGGTATAATTACTGCTCTAAGTGGGTTGCTTTGTCAGTTAAAGGCCTATTTTATAGTCTAAACTATATAAACCAGTTAAAGATGAATCTATTACTAAATTAGTTGACAATTATTTCAATAACCAGTTAATCACAATTAATCCGATTAATTGTTTCAGCCCTAGTTTTTTGTATCAGTGGTGTGATTAGACCTCATCAACATGTATTTATTAGAGATGTGTGGCTATTACACCTTATATTACACCTTTAATCAGTTATATTGTTCCAATCTCCTTGTAATTTCTTTTCACTGAAAGGGTTCAAGTTTTGACGATTTTGCTTTTTGCCTGCATTGTTGCTTAACAGCAGATTGGAGTTTGTAGAAAGTCAGTCATAGTGTACCTTTGGTGACGTTTTATCAAGACTCAGAAGACCAACAGAAAGTCGTTCAAATTGTGAAGTGAAATCTAAAAAGTGCAGCATGCATTTAGCCCACCTTAATGAACACTTTGCAGGTATTTACCAGGTTTCTACCAGCTCTAAATACACTAGAGATTGCCGCGGCTTCTCACCTGAATTCTACCTGGGCCATTCTAACACTTGAATATGCTCTATCTATCTAGACTTATACCAGCCTTCCCATTTCTTCTACAGAAAAAAATCCCCAGAGCATGATACTGCAGCTAACATTTTTCAGTGTACGGATTGTTTGCAAAGTGGTGTGCATTTTTCTTTATTTTAAAATTTTGCTGCACAAAGTTCAAGTTAAGTCACTTTCAGGTTTAATGAGGGGAACACAAAGATGAAGCTCTTTGCTTGAACAGGAAACGATAACAAGGCAACAATGACGATCCAGACAGGAGATGAATAATGAGGTAAACAGGGCTTGGAACGGAGAGTAAAACGCTGCCCTGAGAGCTCTGGTTAACAGATGTAATGTTGAAAGGAAGGATTTGAGGATGAGGATGTGCAGGAGAGATGGACAATCCAAACAGAAACGGTTCAAATTAAGATGACTGATAATAATACAAATCATAGTAATTATAAAAAAAGATTATAAATCAATAAACAGAGAAAAAAATCTGCCTTTAATTAGGACAGCTGACTTAGACTTATTTTTTATAACAATAAAAGTAGGGGTGCAACTAATGATTATTTTGCAAATCGATTAATCTGTTGATTATTTTTTTTCAATTAATCAATTAAAAGGTTTTACTAAATTAAACCATGTGAAACTAAATCTTTTCTACCTGAGGAGTTCTGGATAGAGAATACTGATAGACGAAAAAAAAAATTTTTTTAACCTTAAAGCCAAAATTTTAAAAAATTTTTTTTACAATTTCGGTATAATTCCTGCTCTAAGTGGGTCGCTCTGTCCACTATAGAGATGTTTTACAGTCTCTATACTCCAGTTTAATTAATCCATTACTAAATTAGTAGACGATTATTTCAATAATCGGATTAATCCGTTTAATTATTTCACCCCTAAATAAGAGTAAACAAATAGGTGCAGTAAATTCAATCATTTAGAAATACAAGTAAATCAAACTACAAGTGTTAAATTGATTTATAAATTGATAAATTGATTCATACAGTTCAGCCTGGTTTCTGAATACATCAGGGCTCATCTTCTTCAATGTTTCTCTATATGGCTAATAGCAATCAGAATTTCCTTTTTCTTTTCTTTCTTCTCCGAGTTTAAGAAAAAATAAAATGCTCTCCTTTAGGTTCAGAATGATGTGGGATTATTGCATTAATTTGTCAGGATTATCCCCCTACAAATGAAAGTTAGAGATAACAGATTGAAAATGATTTTAGCGTGATCCAGTGTCAGCCTGCCGCCACGGCTGCAGGCAGGGCTTATTTAAATGGACGGTGTTGGTGGATTTGTCTCACTGCTGTGAGTGAGGAGCCACAGATGAGGCAGCGCGGCCTGGTTTGGGGACTCCCAGCTGTCTGTTGGTGCTGCAGCCATCTGGATGAGACAGAGACTCTGCTTGTCTGGCAGCAGGCTGAAATATTATACAAGAGATGACATGCACACACGCTCGCTGCAGCCACAGCGCCTCGTTTCTCACATCATCACTGGGAATCCACTTCAGAAAGCTTTCTTTAGACCTTTCAACATATTGCTTTTTTAGTTGCTTAGTGGCATGTGTATCTAACAATCATGTTCATTTATTTCATGTATAGTACTAGTAGGAATGCATTTCCATTTGTATGATATGTAGATGTTTCTTGCAAATGCATTGAGTTAGAGTGAAGCCTTCAGTGAAGATGATCAGATGCACAAATCGTTAATGAATTAAGTCTCACATAGGAGCTGATAGTGCTGCCCTCAAATGCAGACTCTTTTCCCTCTGGATGTTTATTCTGTGCTTTAACAGAGAATAATCACACATGTTGCAACAATTAAGAAATATTCTCTCTGGAGAGTTTTCTATTTCTTGCTTTCACCTTTTTCTTCATTATTTCCACTTTCCAGGCTTGAACCTTCTCTTCGTTTAGCGCCGGCTCTCCTTACTCTGTCCTCCCCACTCAGTCGTTGCCGTCATCTTGGTGTTAGAAATAGGATTAAATCACCTTCCAGAAATTTTAATAAATATGAGTCCAGACACATAAAAGCCAACTTACTCCCCCGCTGAGGAGGACTCTTCTCTTCTCCACCCTCTGCCTTTTTTCCTCCCTCCACATTTCTCCACTTCCACCTCCTCCTTCATGTCTGACTCATTATCTTCTTCTCTTTTCCTCCAGCTTCTCTTTATCTTTTTCTTCTTTTATCAATTCTCTCTTTTGCCCTTTTTTGCATAAATTTAAAAAGCAGACTGGACATTTTTAATCTCACATTTACTTGGTCTCTATAATATCCTGTAAAATATTCACACTCAACTATGCTGATTAATTACGTCAAAGTTCCCTATTCATTTTTGGTACAAATGACTAAAAGCTGTAAAAGTAAATCCTAAGCTAAATATTTATTAAAAATCCAACTATTAATTTAAAGAAATGTATTAAACATATATTTTTTTCTGAAAATTAATGTCGTTGCAAATTAATACCTTTACTGGAAAGACTTTTTCCCAGCAGCACTTTGTCTTCTCCTATAACATTTCACCAGGTTGCAATGCCCTGCTCCTTAGCTTGCCCCACAGATTTATATAAGTTGACATTTTAGGGATTCCCGCAGAAGAAGGCCTGTGTTCGTCTTCATCTGTCCATAGTTGTTCATCATTGTTCATCTGGAAGATCCAGTATCCAGTGTCTGGTGTGTCTGGGCACAATGCCACTCTTACAAGTTTCCTAGGAGCTGTATAAGATGATCAGCCCACAGCCTGCCAGACTCTACACCATACAGTACTTAACATTAAACAGCAGGGCTTTTACAGCTGTGCTTTGTTTCAAGCTTGTCATGTTGGCGTGTTAGTGGCCTGAAAGATAGAACTGCTAGAATTTAGCAATGTCAAAATGTTTATGTATGTGATGGTAGGACAGATGCTGTCCCGGTATCCCTCCTGATTTCACTCTTTTTGGTTTTATTTATTTAAATATGAAAGCCATACCTCGGTGAAACAGTTAGCAAGTTGGCCAACCAGCTAGTTCTTATTGTTAGTTCCTTTGCCTGATATAAAAACAGAAAAAAGAACACATCCAGTGTTGGCATTAATCTTTATCATTCACAATAAGACCTCTTAGACCATAAAATACCTAGTTTGTTAAATATATTAGTAATTTATACTTCTCCATTACTTGTTGGCATCTTCATTGAGTGTCATAAGGTTTGGAGAAAAGAATAGGAAGTTATTGACGCCCTATATAGATATAATAGCTTATAATATAAATAATGATAATACAGTTAAGCTTCTTAATGGTCAGCTTTGATTGAAAATAAACAGAAAGACAAAGCATTACACGTGTATCTGTACATACACTGCAAGCATGTTTCTATATCCTCGTGGGGACTTTCTATTGACTTCCATTCATTGCTAACCTTTTTCTACAGCCTAACCGTGACCCTAATCCTAACCTTAAAGGAGAAGTTCGGTTTTTTACACTTTAAGCCCATTTTCTGTAGTGTCCAGGATGAAATCGAATGAT